TACCGAGCACATAGGTTGGGCCACTATCGTAAGCCGTCTTGGAACTGTGCCGCTACCATTACGGCAGGGTGTCGGTTGTGAAATTCGAGTTGTGGCAACGCGCGCGGACGCTAACTGGGCTGTGTTCAGATTTCGCGTGATGCGAGTTAGCGCCTCCGTCGCACCTATTGAAGGGGACGCAGCCATGGACGGGTAACGCGGCTCGGCCGCTAGTGTTTGGGGGGGGGGGGGGGGTAAAGAGTACAGAGAGAATACAAGGGTAGCAGGCTGTGTGATGAGGCGTTATAAAATTGCAACTGCTGCTGTATGCGACAGCACTTCTTATTTTATGACGTCCAATCACACTGTCTGGTACCCTCCTATTCCCCTGTACTCTCTCAAAACGCTAGCAGCCGACGCCAATCGATACCCGTCTGCGTTCTATAGTTGCGTTGACGCCCGTTGAGCGCTACGACACACGTCACAGCCAGTTTGCCAGTTTATGGCATAATTGTTGCTAGCTAGCTGATTCGACATACTCTCCCCTTTCTGACAGGCACAATAGGAGGTTACAGTAACTTGTTTGGCTTGGGAGGGGAGTGCGGAACGAAAACTGAACTGCTTCTGAAAACTGCCTCGAAAATCGTTAAGCAGAGGTCAATAGTTAGCCATTTTTGCCATATACGCCATTGAAATTTAAATATGAAAAGTATTCTATATTCCGTAGCACCTCTACATTAGATCAATTGAGTCCCCATGTTAACGCGACGCGCGAAGCGCCTTTTCGCCGCAAAGTGGATCTCCCAAACGACATGCGTAGTCATACCTTAGGACTCGAAATCATAGTTCACCATTGTGCAATTGATCCACCAACTATGATTTTCGACTCCCAGGGTTTCAAAAATTAGATTAAATGAACCGACGCTTACCTCTGGGAATCCATCAAGGAATCCAGGAACCATCCTGCACATATCGGCCATATGTTCAGCGATTAGCACATCCACCCAGCTGATCTTGTCACCCACGAGGTAACCTATAAGAAATCAAACTGTACTCTACACGAGAGTTACTGTAGGTTCAAATCCATCCATCATTGAAACTCAGTGAAACCATCAAGTTCCCCAATTCCCAATATCCCCAGTCGGCCAAAAAAAAAAATAAATTTGACAGAAAAAAACTTTTGAAAAGGGGGCTGAACACCCAGTAGAATGGCCTTTGATCCGTCCTCGAAAAAAGCCAACGGTGGCAATTTACTAGTTGGGGTGAGACCATTAAAATCACCAGAACATCCAAAGAAGAGTTTTTACTAGTACGGTATCTTGGGGAGGCATAGAATAGAAAATGGTTTGCCAACTCAAGGACTCGATCTCATGACCATGCACCCCACCCCCAGCACAAAGGGAACGCCATCGCGTTGTGATCATTTCCTGAAAATTATGACCCTCCTGATTCCATACTAAAATACGACCCCCCTTTTTGGGAGTTGCATACCGCCCCCCCCCATTCCTCATCGGAACCGACGCCACCGAGAGGTCGCAGCGGCGGAGGGCAGCGTCTCAGGTCAGAATTTAACTATCATTTTCGAGTGTCGGGTGTCGGAAATAGTAGTGCGTCCGTGAACTGACCAAGTACGACCCATCCCCCCCCCCCTTTACAGCCCGTCCGTGAAACAAGAGAAATCAACTATCAAAATGTGATTGATCACAACGATGGCTAACTCTGCCCAGCACCCCTTCTAGGCTTCTTTGTTCTTTGAGTGGCTCTAGTCATGTAATACTTAAGAAAGGACCAACCGTGAGCAGCGTTCTTCTTGAGGAAGTTTGTGACAAACTTAAGGAATTTGTCACGAGCTGGCATTAGCACCTCAGTCTTCAGCTTCTCCTAAACCACTTAATATTTAATTAATTTTATGACTTTTACCCCATGCAAAGTGTTCCCAACTTACTGGATCTCCAGGCATAAATCCATGAGCTGCATAATAGTAGCTCTTCATTTCGCCGCGGTAGTCACTGTACTGGTCGGCCAATGAGTCGATGGTTGCTGCTTCAAAATCGTCTTTGCCAGCGAAACCTGAAAATTCTCACAATCACCTTTGCAACGTGGGTTCCTCTGATGACCTCATATACTCCTCACTGTTCGGATAGATCACTCGTGAATTGAGCTACACCAGGACATACCGGTAATGGAGTGGCGTAGCCTGCCGCAACTTAGTGTACGCTTCGTGCTCGGTAAAGATTTCCATCATAGGACGGCTATAATCATGCTTTTTGACAGCCACAAGGGAAACAGATAGTTGTTTCAGTTGGACAGAAGGGACGGACCCTCTGCCATATCCGAGTGGAGTACGCAGTCACGACCTCTCCATTTTTGGGATATGGAGTGTATTTTGGAAGGCATATTACCCTATCAACATACAGCATCGGAATGGCTAGAGTGGCGGTGCCGTATGAGCACCCCCCCCCACCTGTCGCAGCCTACCTAGGCTTTACCAAATGGGGTGAACAGCTGCGACTAAATTTTGAAAAACTGTGCTTTCACAGCGCCACCAACCAGGAAGGTGCAGTCTTGTTCGCTGTGGATGTTGGGGCGCGTCAGAGGGCTGGGTTCGGCGCTGTCAACCTTTTTCCAAAAATGTTGTCTCTCGCCCCTTTCAACAATTGGTGGAGAACAGGCTGCAGCAGCGCCAAACAGTTCTCCTGTACGCAACAGCAACCGCAGCGAACAAGGCTGGATGGATAGAGCGCAAGTGAAATAAGGTAATACCAACGGGAAATTTTCTCTCAAGATCAAATACGCCCACTCCCTCATCCCAGCGACCACATATAACCTCCCTGATGAGTTCACACCTTCATCGTAGGCTCCAGCCTTCCCATGACTTCCGCTTCCTCATTCAAGCTTTAGGCTTTTGTCGATGTGGGATTTCCCATGTACCCACTCGGAGGATGGAAAAATGTATGGAAAATCAGCTGAGTCTTCCGCGGTAATACCCGTAGGATGACTTTTTCATCAGCTTGCAAGCTAGTCACTCTGGTTTAGGAAGTTGTCAGCCTCACAGGGGCCAGTGCTGCGAAAGTATCCGAAGAAGGATCGTCAACATGCTGGGGATCGTTGAGGTATTAGCACATCGTGACATTCTGGCGAAACAGCGCCAGACCGTTTTGTTGCCCTTACATAGGACGGGAAATGGCTACACGCTGTAGAGCTGTGCTTTCTGAAATGTGCTGTTGTTTCAGAAGGAAAAACAATATCAAATTCCCAGGCCCTTATTGTGATATTGCGACGACATGGTCTTGATGGAACATCAGTCTAGGAAGGAAATTAAGTGATTCATCGTATAGGATTGCTCTCAAATTTCCTCAGCGACTGGAAGACTATTTTTAGAACTACAGTAATTCTATACTGATGCTTCTGCGCTCTTACCAAAAGTCCTTGCCAAGTAGCGGTTGATTGCCAACGACTGCGCCAGCTGCTTGCCGTCAACCTCAAGCACTGGCATTTGTCCGAATGGGAAAGCTGAAACCGATGCATTAAATTATCTAGCAGAAGATACTGGCATTTGCTCGAATGGGAAAGCTGAAACCGATGCATTAAATTATCTGGCAGAAGATACTGGCTCTATAATATGAACACTTACTCTCTTTCAGTGGAGCAAAAGCCTCTCTGGTAAGACGGACATCCTCATACTTCTGGTCGGCAAGAGCGAAAAGCTGAAACCATTTTTTTCGGACATTGATTTGAAAAATACCTAGTGAGAAATAGCGCGAAGAAGTGATGAAAGGTCATGAGCAAGGATATTTGAGCTCCTCAAGCACAAGGATGTGAGCTCACATGCTTTACCTAAGACCCAGTCCTCGCCTAAGCACATTAACGGATCCATTTTGACCCGGGAAGCGGCGAGCCACCGACCTTTCGTGGAATATGTTGGGACTTTTTATTAATTATTCAGGCAAAGGTCTATGATTCATAACTACTTTACACTAGAAGTCTCGCAAAGAGGCGTTAGAACTAGAGACTTACCAGTGGCCTGGTAGCTCGCTTCTCGCTCGCTGTGCAGACGAATAGAGTGGGATAGTCTCTAGCTTGGGGGACTTGCACAAGGAAGGACGACCATGTACTACTCGAGCGCGGGGGCGGTTGTCTTGAAGCATTCCGCCGTTGCCATTCGATTTACAGTCCTCCCATCATTACCCGGACAGTCGGGGCGGGTCAGTGCGGCTGCGTTTGGCGCGGGGCCAAAGTCGTTCTGCACCAGTTGTTGAAGCGGGCAAGTGACATTACTGTATTATATCCTTCGTATTACTCGTTTTCTACCACTTTTTGTCGCATACGCGTTTCAACAAAAAGGCTGAGAACGGCTTCAACAGTGTGCACACTCATACTGGCTGACACGCCCCACCGGTCCGCAATGATGAGGACTGTACCTTATGCTAATAACGTTATCGTTTCAAGGGTCTACGAACAACTTAAACTTATTCCCTTTAATGGCGCCAACTTTCTATTTTTCTCAGTGCTCTCACCTGCATGGCGTTTTGTGACACCCTGACCTTTCACACCCCATCTTTTTACGCATAATAGGTGGCTCATCCCCCCCCCCTGTGAACTCCTCTCCCTTTGGGAAAAAAAAACTCTACTTTTCTAGGCTCGCGACATGTTTTTTTTGTGCCTTCTTTATGCTTGGCTTTGGTTTACTCTGCGCTCAGACCTTTCTGCAGCAGCGACCACCATGGCAAAAGTTTTAGTTGTCACGTAACCCGTTTCAAGCACCGACAATATTGCGTGGTGAGGCTAGGGCGGTGAACTACCCATTACTCAGTCTCACAAGAGGCTATCAAGAAAAATTCGAGACTCATGGAAAAGCTCTGCTTCCAAGAAATCAGTACTTCACAATGGACTTGTCGTGACACTGACTATTTTCCAGCGAATGCAAGACACTGCATAAAAGCCCACCTGACGGTGCCGGCTCTCTTGCAACACCTACGTCTCCATCGAAGTATGTGAGCTTGTAGTTGACCATTTCTACCTGGAAAATAACGGCGTTGAAATCTAAGCGAATAAGCGTGGTGAGCCAAGCGGCACCAAAATATTAGACCCTCAATTTATACACACATACATAATACAAACATACTATACAGCTTTCTATAGCAATACGACAACAGTGTTAGACTGAGAAAGGAAAGGCAGAGTTCTCTCGGCACCGTTTGATAAGGAGAAACCTGGGACATTTCCACACCCACGAGTATTGGTGATCACACCGTTGGAACGAGAGTTCGCTTCTGCAGCGAAGTAGCCCGGGCCCTTCTGCCCAGAATGGAGAATGAGGAATGATAGCCACAATGATGAGAAGAACGCGAAATACGACCTCCGCCCACACGGCAAGCGCCGGAAATTTGTCTGCTTTGGACACGAAAACTGATTGAGTTGGTTTTTCGTAAGGAGACGGTCTGCTCAGTAGGATCAGCCACTTTCAGCGGTGGCCCTTCTCCTCGATACTAGTACAATAATGAAACCTAGCTCGAAGAAGTCCTATAAAGTGATATGGGGGTTTACTACCACCGTTATCAGCGACCCTTTCTAAGTCCCACCCTCTCTTTTTTTTAAGCAAACCCATTAGTCTTTGGCACATGCAAGGTTTTTAGGAGTCTTATCGCTCCTACGACCTTCACATCACTCATGACAGATTTCTGAATCCTTGAGAGCAAACGCGAATACAGCCGATGGGTGACTTGCCCACCGCTTAGAAATCTTGATCGTGCGCCTCAAAACTAGTTTTTCTGCCGAATGGAACTCTTTCAAGGTCTTTCCTCCATTGAGATAAGGTCTTTGAAGAACATTGCGGGGAGACGTGCGGCTTGGTTCCTGGGCAAATATTGCTTATGGAGAGCATAAGGCTACTGTGGCAAAACAAAAACCCAAAAATAGCTCCTCTCTCATTACCGAAAGGTGGTAGCTAGTACCCCTGTGCGCATTACCTCCGCACGGTTTTTCCTTCAGTGAGCTCTAAGAAGTTCCATGAAGGAAGAAGACAAAAGCTCCTCAGTACTACCGTCAGCGATAATTCCTCCACCCACAACGAATTTCCGCTAAAGCTGGAGTTCCTTCTCAACATTCGCACGACCGTCTTGGACGGAAAGCCCCTCACCGTCGGCATATATTCACAGCTTAAAGATGTTCCTTTACAGCAGTAATGGGCCGGACGGCAAAATATTGGCCGCTGAGATTTACCAAGATTCCCCTTATTTTATAATTCATTCATTCTCAAAAATTGTTCACCCACACGCCGATTCCTCTCTAGAAAAAATGTCGTTGGCTCCTTACAGCGGCTGATCAGGGTCGAAACCAGGGATTAATTATTAGGTTGGCGCGAAAGTTTCTGGTCAAATTTTTCAAAAAGGCTTCATTTTATAGATATACATAGATGAGCGATGTAATTATCGAAAATTGTACAGCAATGTTACTGCGGGGTCCTTGCCAGTGTTTGAGCACCTCATGGATGCCATTGCTTCACTATGCAGGGAGACACGACGCAAAGTTGGACACCATCTCAACCTCGACTTGAACTTGGGTTATGGAGGTTTTCTCGTCCGCATAACGATCGATTACGGAAGGCAACTTGCTATTAGAAGGGGCGATGTCTGTGCTAACAATTGCAAGGGGAGAGAGATCAAGCTCCATTGCATGAGGTACGGCTCGAACTTTTTTGGACCAAGTGCGTTGCACTCTCTTGGTGAGGGGTGGTGCGGGCCGGTCGTGGGTGGGCGGTCGACGGAAAAATTGCGCCGGTCGTGATTTGACGATGATACGCCTGATAGCTGCCTGGTTGGTATCGCTCTGTGTGACGTAAGGATTAGCGAGCGCTTTTTGATCCTAGCTCGTCCGTACTCATAGCTCCCTCAAGCTGAGGTGTTGCCAAGGTAAACCCAAACCTCACTTTCGTCATCAAATGTGTAGGCGCTCCCTACGCTCCAAGCCTTGAAGGCCGTTCACTGTCCGTGGTAAGAGTTCTGCTCGATGATTGGGGTGGTATCGTGCTTATTCAGCTCCATCCAATTTGGCATCTGCCAGCCTAACACGATGGCTGGCGTCAGGGTGGTGAGTGAAATAGTTTGTGGAAGTTGTTGGATGGGTCGGGGCTGATGGTAGCGGATAAAATCCTTGTGCATATTGCAGAAGAAGGAGCAAGAGGCAAGCGAGTGGTACTAACAGAGAGACCACTCCTTGTTGTATAAGAGCTTACATTACGTATACCGCTCCTTGCGCGCGTAATGGCAGCAAGTATTTTGAGTTTCGGAAAAGAGCTGACAAAACTTATCCCGCCAACCTAATACATGGTTAGCGCCAACCTCGATGTCCTGTACGGCCGTCATCTATCAACTGGACCCTACGCTCGCTGGTATGATCCAGAGGCATCTTCTCGTTGAATCTTCTCTCGTGCATGAGGAAGGGAGGAGAATAAGGAAAAGGGGAGAGAAAGAAGGATGGAAAAGAAGGAAAGAAGAGGAAGGGGAAGAGGAGAGAGGCTTCGCGGTGGACAGCTACCTGAGATTGTACCGTAGGTATTTAAGGTCTTGCGTGGCACGGCGGCTTACAAATATCACCTCCGTTACTACGCTCTCAAAGGCTCTATCTTAGCCTTAACTTCTCTATCATTCGCGAGGTACGCTTTTCAACCCCTTTCTTCATCGAGTGCCCCTCCTTCTTTGCGTGATTTTTGAACTCGAAACTGCAGATGGTCGCTCAAGGTCGCCTCCTCGGACAGCTTTGGCATTTCACAGACCACTTACTTGGCCTCCGCAAACTCTTATTTTTTGCAGGACATCTGGACCTCAAATAAAGTCTACACACAAAATCATTTGGGCAGTAGACAAAATGATGGTTATGTCAGCGGGACGACTGGACCACTCGGTCGTCTACCGGCTGGTCATCGATATTTGGAAATCACCTTCAGACCACCTTCCAGCGCTAGAAGCCCAAGCCCTATAAGTGAAAAACGTGAAAAAAATTTGAAGGACGTTAAGTCCAACGTCTCATAAGCCCATTACCACCCAAACAGGGATACCTGGCGCTTTTTTTATTTCTGCAAAGACTAGCCGATGGATAATGGGAGCAGAGAGCAAAGTTCGGCAAGCAAGTAGAGAGTGCAAATCAATGGATAGCGCTAGTCGTGTGAAAGATCATTGAACGTTTTGGGGGATGGACTTTGGAAACGCTCGATGAACTCCATTAAACGACAGTAAAGTTCAGATAGACAGAGGAAAGATTGGTACGTCCGCACCATAGAGAGAAAATTGGAAAAGTGAACCGAAGAGGGCGTGGTCTGCTAGACAGGTGCGTTGCGAGGAAATGCGATCTTCAATCGCTGTGATCTGTGATGTCAAACCTCCCGTTCACACAATCCTCAATGAACTCATTTTTGGAGCCTTCACCTGCTTGTGGATGAGCAGCATTATGTTTTGACTGAGTTGCCTCCCTCAAAAACATGAAAGTGCCCTTGGATCCAAAAAAGTCTTCAGACACCTCTTCTACGAAGGTGCCCCTACGGGATGCAGCCGAAATTCCCAAAAGTGAGAAACTATCGGCTTTGTGATCTACGCCTTGGACACTATTGACCAGCAGTGTTCACTTACTCCAAAGTCCTAGCAATTTTGAAAACGAGAACAGAGTTAGTTAGTTAGCTAGTTCCTATGAA